ACCGAAATACTTTCGGAAAATCCATTATAGTTTCTATTTTATGTATAAAGACCATCAAACAGACGATGTACAGTACTCTACGGAATTTTTTTTTTTTTTTTTCACCAATATCTGAATATTTTATCTTAGTACTTATTAAATTTAAATTAATAAATAATACTTACATTATACATAGTCAACACTATAAATAGCTCAGTTTGCCTTGGAGGATCATAAAGCAGTTGACGAAGTGAATATTTTTCTTTTTCAAAATCATCAGGTTTACACGTGCAAGCAGTGTATCTCATATGTGTGAACTCTCTATCTTGCCTTCTTTGAACTTTTCGCAGTAATTCACTAGGTACAGGACAATCTAATACTAAGTTACCTTTAAATAATTCCACGCGTTTTGTAGTTTTGTAACGACGTGGTTGGCGCGCTGGAGCTCTACCAAAATGACGTGAATTTCGATCAGGCTCAGCGAAAGATACGCCGCCGCCGCCACCACCTTGAGGAGTCATCAAGGGCTGAGAATCACCTTCTGCATATTGATAGGATGGTGGATGGTATTGCTGTTGCTGCTCAGGAGCGTATCCTTCTGGAGGATACCTCGACATTTGAATCCGTAAGAAGAGTCACGAAACAAATTTATTAGTTCCAAGAGCTTGTAATTTTTCGGACTTTCTATAGTTAATTATTATTTTTTAACTCTTTTATATAAGTACGTTTTTTTTTTTGTGCAAAAATAGAAGATATTATTCAGAATGAACGATGTTTATAAATTTTTTTTTTAAGAGACCGCTTTAGATCGATCCCCGGAGGCTGTGGGATGATTAAAAAATTTAAATATTGAATTGACGTTCGTTACACATGGATGACATGACAAACTTGAACGGAACAAGCCGTAACTCGTATATATTTTACAAGAATTGATTTCGTGTAGGCTGATAAATGGATAAATAATTATAATGATAAGTCTTACAATATGTATCACTATTACACTGATTTTTGCCAACGTATGTAAAAATAGAAAAAGACGATCATATTCTGATATTGAATATTGAGTATAAGAGAATTCGTACTCGCAATTAATAACCCGACAATCTCCGACATATATATATCACAACAAGAAGGCATCGATCATGCATAACTTGATTGGTAATAATTTATAGATGGCTACCTTCTCGATGTATATGTCGGAGTTCTGTACAATCAAGATCCAGTCGAGTTTAATTAAAACAATCACGAAATTAGAAATACAAATACAAATACGAATGCCCGTATTGCGAAAATTGCGCCCCTGGGTTTCCCTAATTCAGGTAATTTTTCGAGTACTTTATTTATCAATGACTTTAAAAAAACCTTGCCACATGCTTTGCCCTCGGGAAAAATATTATTTTCATATAAACCTTGTCAATCGAGATTGCGG